GATCACTGGTGTGTAGTTTGAATAGAGGTGTGTAATTTCATATGGTGACGGGTTTTGAATTTGGGGTTTTAGAATACAGTAATAGGTATGGGACAAGATGGGGGTTCTTGGGCATTGTCTTTTTCTTCCTTCTTATTCTTTCTTCATGATTTCAGGCAGTAGTTTTTGGATTGGATAGTCAGTACCACAGTGCTGTCACAAGTGTTTGGGTCACAGGTGTTTGGTTATTGGGTCAGAAGTTTAAATAATATAGATGTTAGTTTTTAATTGGATAGTTAGGCCTTAAAAGACCTTGTAATGAGCAAGATACAGCTCCATTTTTTTGCTTTTGGCTTGTTAACTAGAAGTGCTGAAGAACTCACTGCACTACAGATAAGAATTAATAAACAACTGAGTCTGAACATGAGAATCCATCTCTCATGCTTCAATCCTGGCTCTGAGTGAAGGCAGAGGAAAAAGAAGAATAGGGACTAATATGTGGAGCCACTGATACTGGACCACCTTGCCTAGGAAGACAGGCTGAGAATGTTGGGGCTGTTCATCATGGAGAAGAGAAGGTTGTGGAGAGACCTCATAGCAGCCTTCCAGTATCTGAAGTGGGGCTACAGGGAAGCTGGAGAGAAACTCTTCCTCAGGAACTGCAGTGATAGAACAAGGAATAATGGGTACAAATTGAAAAAGGGGAATTTAGGTTAGATATTAGGAAGAAATTCTCTACTGTGAGGGCGATGAGACACTAGAACAGATTGCCCAGGGAGTCTGTGGATGCCCCAACCCTGGAGTTTGAACCTGGGTTAGGTAAGGCCTTGAGCAACCTGGTTTAGTGGAGGTATCCCTGCACATGGCAGGAGGGGTAGGACTAAGTCATGCTTAACGTCCATTCTCCTTAACAGTCTATTAATCTATTTATAATTTCAATTTTGTCAGGAATTGCTTTAAAAATTTTTCAGTTCTGTCTTCCAAACCACTCTCTGTCCATCATCTACAAGCTGACTAACACCAAACACATACAAAAGCACAGGCAATATGCTAGCTAAACATGAACTGAATTTCTTATGGAGCTTTTATGTAGTGTCTGCCACCCAGACAGACTCAAAGAAGAAAAATCCCAAAAGCCAAGCACAATAATCACTTCCCCCTTCTTGATTATTGTTAACTGAATGAGTAGGGATGTGAACAACTGGAGAGGTGGACACAACAGAGTAGGGACCAGGTGGCAGGTACCTGATACTGATGCTAAGAAGAGAGGAACATATGAGGGCACCTCCAGGATCACTGCTCCAAAAACAGCACCTAAACTTGTAGTGTTAGACCTCATCCCATTTCTAGCCCGTACATTCAGGTCATGAAACCCAGGAGAATCACAATATACACATTCATATATATAACTTTCTCCATGAGGCAAAAAGCAAGACTGCTTGCAGAAGAAAAGCTGTTGAGTGTTGATCGCCTTTTCTTCTAAATACAAAATTTGCAATATTAACTGTCTCACAGGATGAGAGCAAATTTCACTCATACAAAAGTCTTAAAATTATCCAGAGACACAAGCTCCCAATTGCGAGCATACATCAAGCTCAGAACAAAGTTTTATTTAAAAATACACTTTATTTACAAGACATTCAAACTTCATTTTGATAAAAATATAGCTGTATGTAAAACCTTAAGTGATTTCTCACTAATGGTTAATAAAACCACAGTGAGATTCAGCAATCATGGAAATTACATTTTACACATTAAATCACATAAGGAACAGAAAAACTGGAGGAAACTTTTAAGCAACACAGCTCCATAAATGTAACAATCTTATACAGGGACATCCTCATATCAAGGTATCACTGTTCAAATAAAGTATTTAACATAGAAAGTGCTTCCATTGTACAGCAGGGTGAATAGCAGATCTTATAGGAATGTTCATAGTTTTTGAATTATCTTTTCCCAAACTTCCCCCCAAGATGTTAATGAATGAGCAATGAACCCTCCTGAGTTCATTACAACTTCCCAGGTTTAGAAATCCACCTTTCTTAAGAAGTTGATTCAGGTAGAGTGTTAATAAAGAGTTTAATTATACATAAACACGTGTTCATATCTCAGGATGACTGCTTAGGTAACACTTCTACACAGACCACAGGACACAAAATAGTCCTCAGAGTAGCTCACATCAAACCATCCATAGAGCTTGGGTAGTTAACTTTTCTTTGGGAAAAATCCAGCTCCTTTCAAAGTTCAGAATAAAAGGGAGTATTCAGGATAGGAAGCATTATAATTAGGAATGGGAGAGGGAAAGAATAGGAAAAAATAATGGTCAAAAACTGGTTTGCAACAGTAACCAGAAAGTGGGTGCATTTTAATAGAATGAAGCACAAAAATTAAACCAGTGCATAAAAAGGTATTTTTAAACTGTGTTTTTGGTAGATCATCATGACCAGGCTATCAAAGCCATCCTGCTTTTATTGAAGAGACAATGAGAAAAAACATGAAGAGGAAAAAATACACTTGTACTATGAGTCAAGGTAAGTATTATAAAGAAGACAAGGAAAAGGAAGTCAACTGAAAACTGGCAAAACAAAGGCAATACTCCTGAAAATAGTACCAGCTTTCTTTATAATGGAGAGTAAAGGCAACTAGAGGGTTTCAGAAGAAGAAAAAAATTAAAAATCAAATTGGCACTTTTGGCAGGTATGAAAAGGTGACAAAGAATTGATTCCCTTTAAGAAAAGGCACATGACTGATGAAGGCCAGTAAATTGCTTTTGCTTTCAGTGTCATGTTAACTTATTCCAGGTTTCACTTTTACTGCAGGATGATTCGATTTCATCATCATCATCCTACTAGGTCACATGTGTGACTGGCTATGGATTACATCCACATGAGATGGACAACCAGTTGAAAGTCGCACATAATTTAAGCAGATTTCCTTTGCCACCAGCAGCAATGGAGACAGGGGACAGCCACTGCAAGAGAAACCAAAAACCAAGAGAGATAATCATAAGGCAGTGCTTGAAGAGGACAGAGCAGCACAATCAACCTGCATTTGACAGGGATTCAGCTAAATAAGCCAGAACAGAGCTTTTATGGCAGTGCAATAGACTACAAAACTGAATTTAGAGCAAGTGCCCGTGGATAAGGGCTAACATGGAAATACACTGCATCTCAAAATGAGGGAAGCATGCTTCAACAGAATTAAAAAGAGATATGCCAGGAACTGAAGGAAAATAGGCCAATACAAAACACACACGGATTGGAATGAAGTCTCCCACAGAAGTAGAGAGGGGGCACACAGTACAGGAGAAAAATATTTTGTTACTCAAAGGAAGGCAAAGATGCTGGTCAAAAGCCTTAGCTGAATACCCTGAAAGTCCCAACACAAAAAAAGTAAGGTTTATCTCATAAATAATATAGCTCGCTTAAGTAATAAAGCAAAATTTAAATCTGTTTGTTTCTAGGTATAAAGATTTCTATAATCCCTGGTGCTTTCTCATTTATTCACAGGCAGCAGTTACAGCGCATTCAAGCAGACAAGAGAAAATAAAGTTTCAGAATGTTATTTCATTGTATTTTCAGGTTACAACACTTTAAAAAGTTTTTAAAAACACATAGCCACAGTTTTAACACTTGAAGAATAAAAATTGTCCATTTTGACATATGCCCCAACATCACACATACTAGTTTTCTTTATTCCCAGAGTAAATACTGCCATTTCAGCTTTCAACCATTTTTAAAAATATGCATATATATACATATATATCAAATTACCTGATTTAAGATGCAAATAATTATGCCTAATTATGAAAGGGTGCTTGTTTTAGAGGATATCAGTGAAAAAAGTTCTCCCACAGACTTTGTTGTTATTTTGGGAGATTTCTATTCCAGTTCTCAAAATCACCATAAATATATTTGTTATTTACATCAAAGCATCACCACAAACGAAAATAAAGAGGGGAGGACAAAAAACAACAGAAGAAAGGGCTGTCTCACTTCATGGCACATGCTTTAAAAAGAAAGAATTCTTACAATGTTTCCTGATTTTTACATTAACTCATGCAGTAACTGCCAAGCAAGATCCTGCTGCTGCCAACGGAATCAAAGAGGTTGGAGGATCAAGCTCTCAATTATAGTAACAAATAGGTTAATTTGTATGATACAAACTTACAATGAAATGGTGTATAATATTTTAATTCATCCAAAAATCTGTTTAAAAGGGGGAATTACAATTCTAGAAATGTGTTATTTAGACTGAAATTACCACTTCAGTAAATACTACATTCCAAGTAGTAAAATACCCTGCCGTGTGTTTTAATATTCATTGAATTATTGCAATCATCTTTATTAATAAGGACTTGTCTGCTTTTAAGCCATCTTTACAATGAGGTCCTGGTATTTTCCCAGCCCAGGCTGGAAATCAATTTGCCCTTTCTGTTAAGGTGTCACTGAGGTAAAAACACCACTATTTTACAAAGGTGTCCCTGTGAATAAATGAATAAAATAGCCTGTCCATGCCACAGAGACCATTGAAAGGCTGCTTTTGCCAACAAAATATATTTGGAATCTTCTGGATGCAATCTGTATAGCCAGGGAGACCAAGCACCATACACAGTGTGGGTTGAGCAGTGGGTTTCCCCTCCCAGAAACCTGTGGAACACACCTGGCTGAAATCCAGCCCTGGTGACAGGGCACATCACCTTGTTTTCCTTAGAGCACCTTTGCATACCTTCAGAAAGAGCAAGCAGCAAAAAGATAGTGAACTGCTTCACTAAATACACTTGGAGATACACCTTTGGGAAGGGGGAGGAGGACCAGGGCAGAGGGTAGGGTTCAAGGCATTAAGACCTTTAAAACCAGCCAACAAGAAGTGATTGAGACTAAACCAGGAAAAATGTCCTGGTTTAATTTTTTTAAAACTCCCTTTAAGCGGTAATACTGCATACAAGACTTTAAAGGTGCTTCCTTAATTAATACAATATTAAATTATGCCTTAATAATAGAATTGCAGAATTTCAACTGTTTGTAATAAACACAGTAGCTTATTTATTCAGCACGAATAATGACAGACTCAGTGTTAAAGACAGCACAATCATCCTGCACAATGATGAAATAGACCATGGCTCTTGGAACTTGTGTTGTCAGGAGAAGGATAAGAAGAATTTTAAAAGACTTAGTTGTACAATCACAACAGTGAAAAAGATAAAAGTTAATTGGATGACTGCCTGCATTTCCATTTGCTACAATCAATACAGACAACGTTAGTAGCTACTTTTTGCTTTCATGACAAGCAGTCTTTTCCTCAGCACGCTCATCTGTGATTAAGTTGAGACTCCAGTATTACTTGTAGAGAAGCAAGACCAGCTTCTGCTCTGTCCCTCAAGATAGGAGTCAATCAAGAAAATAACACAAGTCAAAATTCCTGAGTGCTTCCCCTTAGACACTCTTAATTTAATACACAAACTCTACTGGCCAGAATTGTTACTGTTAAAAACGAACTGTCCATGCAAAAATGGGGTTTAAGGATCAGTAAAGCATCTCTACTGAAGTCCTTTATAAATATACAGTACTTCAGCCCAGTACAATCATTAATTGGCCACAGGGCTTTCAAGAAACAGCTCATTCCAGCAGGAAAGCCAGAGGTTCTTTCCCAGTGCTATGGGCCATGAACTGCAAACATCAGTGCAGACAGAGAGCAATACACCCCATCCACTCTAACAGTAGGAATTCAGCCTTAGTTTGACAAGGAACTGGGTAAGGCTGCATCACAAAAATCACATGAATCCAACAGCCTTGATGGAAATCTTAATCCTTATTTCAGGTACAAGGGGGTTTTAGGTGCATTTTGGTTTACAGCTAAAGCACAGAAATCTTTTTGCCACACCAACTTCAGCTACAACCACGGATGCCCCCCTTCCCAGCCAGGATGTGTTTGCTCCATGAGAACATGACACAGAGCAGAGCAAATTGCCTAAAATCTTGTACTACCCAACTGTGATTTGTCATCAGAAACGTCACTATTTTTCGCGTTTTTCACGCTCTCCTCTGCCACTGGGTCCTCCATAGGGATTTCAATGTCACTGTTCCTTGAATTACTGTCTCTGTGCTGTGCAGAAAGAGATCTTTCATTTTTCTCCCTGTAGCCATTCGTTTCAGCCCGGGGGGGCTCCCTCTGGCTGCAGCACAGATGAGAGTCACAGGATTTAGAGATGCAGGGTGAGCTGCACAGTAGATGTAAGGTCTTGTGGTCAGCATACTCGGGCTGGATGGTCACAGAATGGACTCCTGCCTCGTGGAAAATCTTCCGGATTTTGTAAGAAGCATCTTGGTAGTCAGAAGGGGTTTGGCACTTGATATGGAGAGTGGCAATGTTCTTCCCACCTGCGAGCTCCCAGACGTGCACCTCATGGAGGCTGCTAACCCCTGGTACACGAGCTAGTCTGTCAGCTGGAAAACACAAGGGAAAGGTGTTAGGGGCTTTGGTGCACTGGCTAATTGTCAGCTGTCTCACAGGCCACCCTATCCAAAAGCAGCAGTGTCAAAATTATCATTTCAGAAGAGATATACTTGATACAATGAGTACTCCCAGCTACTTTCAGTTTGGCCTCCAGGTGATGAACCCTTCCTTTTGGATTCACCCACCCCTCAGGCTCCCTAATAGCAATTCTCCAGCTGTTCACAGGGGAAATATTGCAGCACTACTTCCTCCATCAAGACCTCACATCTCCTGGTTCCCTTAAGCCCCGAGCATGAAGAAATTCCAGAAATACCTAGTGTTACTACACAATTAACCAGCGTGAACAGCACCTAAGAGCTACAACGTTAACCAACATTAATGGAAATTTCTAAGAAGCTTTGGAAGCTTTTCAGAAACAGACAGTGCATGGTTGGAAAGACTGTAACTGGAAGTTGTTTCTTTCACAAATAACCCACACAAAGCATTAGCAGCTCAAGACCTGGTATGTTTGATGTATTGTTAGAATACCACATTCTCAAAATGCATGCTTTAGCTAATCCAGAGAGATTTGAGTCATGTTGCTAGGACACAGGCATGTGATTATTTCTCACAGTTCTTGAGAATTTAGAGCTATTATGAGTAAATAATCCAAACATGTCATTCCACAAATAACATATGCATTGAAATATACCATTAAAACTTGGAGCATTTCAGCAACAAATTTTACTTACTCAGTAGTTGCATATTAACACCTTTGGGGACCATCTGCAACAGAATAGTTGAGGTCTCCTTCATGAGAGGGAATGCAGAAGACAAGATGATGAACACCATGACTATTGTCAGGCTTGGATCAATGTAGCACTGCCAATTACATGGAGCATCCCCCAGAGGACGTACATAGAAGATAGTAGCAGTAACTACCACGACCACAGATCCAAGTGCATCTCCCATAACATGCAAAAGAACACCTGAAACAAATGGCACAATTTCCATTAGTGGGGCAGGTTTGGGTTTTTTTGCTTTGTTTAGGGTTTTTTTCTAGGAGGATGAGTAATGCTGAGTTTTTCAAGCATGTTCCACTTGACATGAAGAATGCAATATTCCAGTCATTAATATCATAACCAAAGTTTTCAATAACAGCTTTTGGAAAAAAAACAGCAAGGGAATTACTGACTCTGAAGCACTGCTGTTTGAGTGGGATGCATTATTAAGCATGTAGAGTATGCTAGCAGCTGCTGTCCAACTGCAATGCCATGGTAACACAAAATGTGCTTGCTTAATTGCATGAAGATTATTAACAGATCCTGGCATGCTAAATTAAAAATTGATGACTAAATCTGTCCATTCTACCCTGGAAGTTGAGAACTGCAGACCACCCCCAGGAACAGCTACCTTCCCCCACCAGTTTCTGTGCCTGCTGAAATCTGAAAAATTGCCTAAGTGAAATCTAAGCTGGCTCCAAATACCGTCAGACTCCAATTTTTAGATCAAACTTGGTTACCAGTCATATTAAACCTTGTTCCATCAATACTACAAGCCTTCAGACCTGCCAAAAATCAGAATCTGGTTCTAGAGTCAGTCACATGGTTTAGTGCCTAGACTACTCTGAGAGGAATGTCAGGTACCTCTTTTCACATCTTAAAGATGGTTTTGTACAAAAGGTAAAGACATAAAACAGGTAACATATTTAGCTGCTCTTTAAACTACAATGACCAAATCAGTCTTTCTGAGACTTCCATAGAGTTATAATAATCCAAGAAGTGCCTTTTTCTTCTTCTTCTTTTTACTACTTAAACATGTACTTCCTCTTCCCAACACTGCTCAAACATACTCCAGTTTTGTTAGATTCAATGTACAGGCTCAGATTTTATTCCAACCCATGCCTGAGTTCAGAACATCTCTCTCTATATGAGGTGAATTTCTTTGTCAGTTCTTTTTGTTTGGGGGCTTCGAGAGAAGAAAAGGAACCATCTCTCTTTAACAACCCTATCACATACACTTTAAAGTGAGAGGCTGTTAAAGGCTCCTCCACAACTCACTAAAAACACAGCAGAGAACTTTGATGATGCTAGATATTGGATTTGCCCTAGAACTCTGCCCATGCCGCTGCTTTATACACGCACCTTGATCTGGGTGAGAAATGAAAGCCACAGCCTCTGGAGCTCCTCCAAATCACTTGGGTCAGATAAGAAAGTACAAGCTCCTGGTGAGTCCAGCTCTTTCTGCTGGAGTCAGGCATGTTCTGCCCCATTTGGCAGACTACCACGAGGTTTTACTCCTCCTCACAGTGTTGCAGTGTTTCCTTTTCATTTACAAATAGTCCTGATTCAGCACGGGCTATCAGCTGTTGCACTAACAAGAGGGACAGGCAGGATGCAATTGCATTGCCCAGGCAACTAAGAGAGCACAGCTTATAAAGAACAGGAAAATGTTTCAGAAAGCCTCCTTTAGAGTTAAGGAAAAAACCTAACTATGTCAGAATTTTGATGAATTAGTAATTGAAAATACAGAATTTGGGAAAATGTTCATTTTACATTCTCAACATCATTAATATGTACATCCTGGTAATGCATCACAGAATTAGGGCTCAAACAGAAATGTATCCATTTCCCTATCAAATCCCAAAAGCTATGATTATAAGCTGGAACAAAAAATGAATTTTTACTAAATGAAGTCAGTATGGTAAGACCATAGGTAGCAATTTCCAACAACTTGCATTCCAAAGTTTAACTGAATTACTCTGTGTATGCTCAAATAGTAAAAGGAATAAATTTCACACTAAAATAATTAATCCTGCCAGACAGAATCCATGGATTCCTGCTCCTATCAGTTATAAAATCAAGGAAGCCGTTCCTCTGCCAATCCATTTTGTCCAGCCATGTTTTTCAGGAGGGCTCCAGTTCCACAACAAAAGAATTTTTTGCCAAGTGACTATGAAGTAACTTGTTAGCAACCTAATTTAAGTTACCTTGTAACCAACTTAAAAGGAAAAGAATGGATTGAATCACAATTTTGAAGACATATCTTTATGACTACAGAAGCAAGGAATATTTATAAAGACAATAAAAAGACTTTGCAAAGGTGGCATACTAAAGTAATACTTAAAATTTTCTTTTTAAAAATCGAAGATGACACGTATCTTAAAATAACTGTCACAAAATCCCTTATCTTTCTGACATTTTTTGAAGGCTTCCAGCATCTTTATACCTAAGCACTGTAGGTTCAGGCAAGCAAGGCCTTCTCCAAAATAATTGGTTCCTTACTCTTCTCTCCTCCATCCCCAAGTGTGACAGTTTGCTTATCCTGCTCCTATAATCTTACCACTATAATGCCAAAATATCCAGTGCCACTAACTTTTAGACATTCAAACAAGTGTTGTGGCTCTAGCACATGATTTGATTTTCCAAAGCATTTTCCCTTACGGACACATTTGTGTAGCCCTGCAAACACTTTTGAAAGACACACACACAAAAAAATCAAACCCCTGCAAACCCAAGTGCCTGACTGCCACATTGACCTCTCAAACTCAACACATGCAAAGCAAACTCACACAGCTTTGGGGGAAATATCAGCTGCTGTTTGATGATCATAGGAAACCTGAAAGTACTGTTCTGATTGAGGTTTCTGACAGTCCTTTCCTTGGGGACAAACTCAGTATTTCATATCCTCAAAGACCTTTGCTTTGGCTCTGCTCAGAGTAGGTACATAAACATGCACGCATAGAAACACCTACACAGACAGAGAGAGACACATGGGTAATTTATTCCTGGGAGTAGGAATATGTTTCACTCCACAGATTCCCAGAGACCTGCCAAAGTACAAAACAGAAAGGGGCTGATCCTGTCACACACTCTCACAGGGATGGGTTCACACCTGCAAAAACACCATGCTGAAGCACTAGATTTAGAACCCTTTTCCGTATGCTGATAACAAAACATTGTCAACTTCAGGATTTAGAAGGGTTTGTTTTCTAACCAAAAACATTTTAGGGTTGAAAACTGCTCAACTACTACATCAGTGACACTCAAAGATGCACCTGCATTACCTTCCTGTAAAGCCTTAATGACATGAGTTTAGTGCAACAGAGTTTGTGTCCTTTCCAAACATCCAGCTGCACTCTTCTAAGAATGAAAATCAAAACTAGAGCATACTCAAAGTGAAATCAGCAAGACACTACTTTGTTACTGCATATGCTATTCCATACAATCAAAATCTTTCTGCTAGAGATAACTGGATCCAATAACAGAAGAGTCCTGGACTTCTCCTCCCTCTCTTACTGATATTGTGGGTGTGTATGTAAATGTAAAATGGAAATCATAAAGTGTTTGAAGTTAATTTAACATTAGCAGTATACTCCTAAGCCATACCTCTGATGTTCAAGGCTTCAGACTTTTTCTCTTTTTTCTTCTCACACCCCCCTTCAGGGATCTTTTGGTCATTTGGTGAATCACCTGCATTCAAAGAAGAAACGCTGTGTTGTGTATGAGTTCTACAAACAGAAAAAACATCAACCTTCTCAAAACCAACTTATTTCAAAGATGACAAGAAGAAAAACAAAAACAAGGCAAAACACTTCCCAATGCAGCTCACTGGGCAAAGCCTCCTTCCCCCATCCCGGGGGGACACCCAGCAGCCCAGGGTAAAGTACAAGGTGAAAGAGGCGGCGGGTGCCTGAGTGAGCTCAGTGAAACTCCCCCGGGCCCACGGGTGGCCTTGGAGCTCTGAAAGGGCCCGGAGGATTGGGCCAACAGCTCGGCGGGTCCCGAGGGAAAACGAGAGGGGGAGAGAGGGAATGAGGAAAGGCGATGGAGGGTGACAGGGATGCTGAAAGGAGAGAGGGGTGGGGAGGGATGCGGGACACGAAGGGAAGGCGAAGCGCAGCCGAAAGGCACCTGCTTCATCCTCCTCGCCGTTCGGGATGCCGCCGGGCACGTCCCGCGGAGCGGCGGCCGCGGGAGGAGCGGGGCAGGACCGTCGCCCGCGGCAGCAGGCGCCCCAGTCCTGGAAGACGAGGAGCCCCACGATGTTGACGGCGAGGCCGAGGGTGCCGACGATGAGCACCAGCTGGGCGTCGTCGATGGGCCCGGGCCGGGCGAGGCGGAGGACGGAGTCCACGAGGATGGTGAAGCAGAGGGCGGTGAGGAAGACGGCGTTGCTGAGCGCTCCCACCGCCTCGGCGCGGCTGTAGCCGTAGGTGGCGCGGGGACCGCGGCGGCTGCGGCGGGCGATGCGCCCGGTGGAGAGCCCCACGCATAGGGAGATGAGGTCCGAGAGCATGTTAAAGGAGTCGGACACCAGCGCGATGGAGTTGCCCAGGTAGCCGGACACCAGCTCGGCCACGAAGAAGCCGACGGTGAGCACCAGCATGAAGATGAGGCGGCACGTCTTGCCCGAGTACCGCCCCATGGCGGCCGTGCGCTGCCGGCCGGTAACGCTCCGCACCAGCACCGCGCCTGCCCGCCCTCCTTCCCTCCCGCAATAAGTGCGGCTGGCCCGGCCCGGCCCGGCCCGGCCCGGCGGCACCGCCCCGCCCGGGGACACCGCCCCGCCCCGCCCCGGGAGGACACGGTGGGCGACGCGAATTCAACCAAACCGGGAGCAAGAGGAGGTTGATGTGCGCGGGGAGGCTCCGGGCGGGGGAAAGGGCCCCTCTCGGGCGGGCAGAGCCACCCAAGGCTGTCCTGCCTGCGCTCCTGCCGCCCCGAGACCGTGAAGTTCCAGCGACGGATCCAATAATTAGGGACCTTTGATGCTTCATCGGCGACGAAAGTGCCAAACCAAAGGACAGAGTGCCATCTACTGAGCCAGCTCATTTCCAGCCTTTAATAAGGTGTGTCAAAAAGCCAAAGGAATCCTGGGCTGCATCCAAAGCAGCGTGGCCAGAAGGTTGAAGGTGATTCTCCTCTACTCCGCTTTGTGAGACCCCAGCATAAAAAGGACATGGAGCTGTTGGAGCAAGTCCAGAGGAGGCCACACATTTGCTAAGAGGACTGGGGCACCTCACCTGTGAAGACAGGCTGAGAATGTTGGGGCTGTTCATTGTGGAGAAGATTGTGAGGAGACTTCACAGCAACATTCCAGTATCTGAAGGGGGGCTACAGGAAAACCAGAGAGGATTTCTTCATCAGGAATGGTAGTTATAGAGTAAGGACTAATGGTTACAAACTGAAAGAGCAAATTTGGGGTGGTAAGATACCAGCACAGGTTGCCCAGTGAGGTTGTGGATGGCCCATCCCTGTCAGTGTTCAGGGCCAGGCTGGATGTGGCTCTGGGCAACCTGGACTAGTGAGAGGTGCCTCTGCCCATGGCAGGGGGTTGGAACTTGATCTTTAAGGTCCATTCCAACCCTTAACACTCTATGATTCTATGAAAACGGTTACCTTAGTGTTCACAAATCTATCACTACCCTACAAGAAAAATAATTGCATGCGCTTTTTAACCTGTAGCATAGTCTACAAGAACCATGACACGACAGTAAACCTCTAGCTTTCACTTGTAGACGTTTTGTTGCTGTTGTTCTTATGACAGCTCTCTTGCAAACAGGAAAAGACAGAGCTGGACTACTAACACGTCATTTCAATTGATGGGAGCAACTAAAGGAGGTGCTGTGAAATCAAGTCATCCTCAGCTATGGGGTTCTCAGTATCAGAAATGGGCCCAAAAATAATAAATAAAATATGTAAGACCTAGAGAAAATGATGTCCTTAAAATGCTATCCTGTGACAGTTTGGAGCATTTCAAAGATGCCGGCTGAAATGCTCCAAACCAGTGCTGAGGTACCACTTCAGCAGCTACAATTCACACTGAAGTGCCACGTTACACATTTCACCACAGCTGACAAAGCACCCATTGTCAGATTTTAAACCAGCGAGGCCAGAGAACACTATCTTGTCCCAACTACCTAAAGCAGTGTTCTCTACAATCAAATTCCTTAAGGACCTCAGGAATTTCCTCTTTGTTCTAACTCTGAAGCAATTGCATTGTTACTGCTGTTGATTGAGCTAAGCCCTTGCTTGAATACATCTTTTAAGAGGCCTCTCCATTTCACCTAATTCTGTGCACAGAATCCAAGATGTGTATTGACCTTTGCAGTGGACTTGAACAGCCTTTCAGGGGATGGTCTTCCCTGCAAGGAATCCACACAAAACTCCCAATTGAGCAGAGATTCATACATTCGATGTTCTGCAATATGCAAATTTACAAACGCATAAAAATAAAGATAAGCACAATTGTGGGGGAGGATAGAATAATTTACATCAACACACATTTCAACGAGAAATTGCAACTACTGGCATAGGATAAGAGATGCTTAATGGTAGTGCCAAATCAAAAACACATAGGTAGAACAATAAGAAGAAAAATATGAGTTACAGGAAGGTAAACAGTCATATAAATTTTTAAAATGTATAAATTTTTAAAATGACAGAATATATCTTCTTTACTATAATTAATGATAGAAAACTCTGCCTCTGACACTTGCAATAAAAAGAAAGACAGCACTCTGAAGCCCAGCTAATTACACCTTCATAGAACTGAAAGGAATTTCCAGCGGTTTTTATTCTAGGAAGACATAATACAGTAGCTGAAACATCATTAATCCTCCTGTGAAAAATATACATCAATCCTCTTTGAAAAAAAATAAAAGGAAGTTTCATAGCCCTGAACTCACTTCAAAACATAAAAATACCACGGTTATTTTGAAGAAATAGTGTTAAAAATATTATTTTCAGCAAATAAGGCTGTGACTAAGTCCTCTAACATGTAGGTGTCAGAAACTGTATGTGTTCAAAGCCTCAGTTCTGACACTGGATCTGCTGATCCACTGATTATTCCTTTTGTCAAGCTCTGACGTCTCCACCTGCTTGGCACAATACAGCCACACACTGACACAGGAGCAGCACAGGATCTGCTGGGTCAGACCACAGATCCATGTCTGGACAGTTTCCAGTTCCCATCTACACCTTTGGGAGATGAGGGAACCAAACCTGCACAGCCTTCAAAGCGCAGGGCAGATGCAGAGGAACAAGAGATACACTGATACAGAGGAACTGCAAAAGTCCTGGTTGTCTCTACTCCTTTGCCTGTGTGGTCTCACATTTAATTAATTTTTCTGTTCCAAACGTTTAACACACATTTTTATGGAACTGATCACTCACTCCTCTTTTCTGTTTCTCATCTTCTGTCACAGTTCCAGCCCAACTGGCAACTCTGCCCCACAGCAACTTGCTCTCCCCCACCCCCAGGGGGATGGGGAGGAGAATCAGAAAAAAAAATTTTAAAACTTTATGAGTTGCGATAAGAACAGTTTAATAATTGAAGCAAAGTAAAAACAAACCCACAAAACCAAAACCAAACCAAAATAAAAATGAACCAAAGAAACAAGTGATGCACAAACAAACAGTTGCACACCACCCTCTGACTGATGTCCAGCTCATTCTCCAGCAGCAATCAGAGACTCCTGGCCAACTCCTCTCAGCTTGTGTTCTGAGAATGACTCTGTGGTATGGAATATCCCTTTGTTCAGTTCAGGTCCTGCCTATCCTGGCTGTGCTCCCTCTCAGCTCCTTGTGCAGGTCCCCACTTGCAGAGCATGGAAAACCAAAAAATCTTTGACTTGGAGTAAGTACTGCTCAGCAGCTCCTAAAACATCAGTGAGCTATCAATATTTTTCTCATGTTGAATCCAAAATACAGTGCTACCAGTTTCTACAAAGAAAATGAACTATTCCCAGCTAAAACCAGGACATCTGCTGATCAGCTCTTCATCCATGCAAGGGCCTGGACCTTTGCCTTTGCACTATGGATGCTTAGAAGCTTCCTCAAAATCCAAGGTTTTGCTCTTCTCATTATGCATCCCTATCCCTCTTCATCCAGGTGTCACAATCATTTCAAGACAAAGGATACCTAAAACTGCCAGGTGAGTAAAGTTACCTTGATCATCCTCAGTCAATAAGCTGTTGCTTTCAATAACAAGAATAATTTATTCAGGTAAATCTTCAGAATAAAGTGTGTGTTATCCCTGTAGCTCTTTTACTCTTTGATCTTCTTCCACACAGTCCAAGAGAAAGCCATGATCCTGAACATAGGAGTCACCGACCCCATTACCAGTGTTTTTACTCAGGATCTTCCCCCTTTCTGGCACTTCCATTCTGCCTGCACCAATCCAATCCACCTGCAGTACCAGAACACTTGGTGTCAAATCCCCTCAGAAGGGAATCGTGTGTATGATTGCTCTGCAGTGTGCTTGTGTGTTTTACACTCATTCAGCAGTAGAATGTTATGATTCCACTTATTCATCCAGTCCTGAGATGGCTTGAATAAGCTACATATTATTAAACAAAAAAGCAGCCTAAATATCCCAGGCTCTTCGTTTCTGACTATGCTGATTTGGAACAAGTCCTTAGGAGGTACAGAAAAGCTTGTCCAGCACCTCAGTTTTCTGATTCATTTGCCAACTTTAGTTTCAGCTACAATGCTGCTAGAAAACCTGCAGTTTCCTCATCCTAATCAGGAACAGAAATTAGAAAAATTCTTCAGAATTCCTAAAATTATTACAAACAAGTAAACTTCCCTTCTGAACACCAAAGATGCAAAGCACCCCTGTAAGCTTCAAGATCTCTGTGTACCAGGCTTTCCAAGTACTTAAAATACCAATTTTTAACACTGAGCCATTGGCAGCCAAGAGGCTGTCCCCACCTGTGGTCATAAGGAAGTTTTAGGTAACAATAAAGCAGGGCAAATGCATATTATACTTTCCCTTAATACTTTTATTCTTCAAGTATTTTCAGCCCAGGTGAGTTTCTGAGCTAGATATCTCTATCTAGTAGCCCTCAATGGATTTTTCTTTTATGTCCTAGTCCAGCCTCTCACTCAGCAATGCAGACCTCATCATTAATTGGAAACAAGCTCCACACATCACCTCTCAGTGTGAAGAACCATAGGATACTTTAGTTTGGAACCTCCCTGCCACAGGTAGAGACACGGGCAGGTTGCTCAAAGCCCCATCCAACCTGACCAGGAGCACTTCCAAGGATGGGGCATCCACAGTTTGTCTGGGCAATGTACTCCAGTGCTTCACCATCCTCAGAGTAAAGAATTTCTTCCTAATATCTAATCTAAACCTGCCCTCTGCCAGTTTGAAGCCATTCCCTCTTGTCCTGTCACTACCTGCCCTTGTAAAAAGTCCCTCTCCTGCTCTCTTGTGGGCTCCTTTAGATAATGAAAAGTGCCTTAAGGTCTCCCCAGAGCCTTCCCTTCTCCAGGCTGAACAGCCTGAACTCTCTCAGCTTATTGCCTTTTTCTTCTTGTTTTGAATCTGAATCCTGCTAGTTTCCCTAAAAATGTTCTTGTTCTTGTTCTTGTTTCAGAAGACGGGATAAACATTCAACAGCTACTGACCCCTCCATG